GGCGGACCAGATTCTGGTCAGCTCCGGACTGGACCTCAGACACTTCTCAAGTCCAAAATTTTATCTCCTTCCTCATGATTAATCTCAAGCTATTACCGCCCATTAGTAGAGCAACTGTCAAGGCCTCGATCGTTATGGTTACGGGTCATGTCCTAGCTGAGCGTGCCTGACTATCTTGGTGAGGCAGTATGGAGAAATCATGATTCTCATAGCTCGAATATGGTTGAGCGAGTTTCTAAGTGAGCTAGGATCCATATTTCAATGTTTTTGAGTCAGCTAGGGCATGACGCTCAAAATCATGCTATTTAGGTAGACAACACATTGTCAATTACATCCTATGTGATTCATAGATGAGTATGGGATAGTGATACGCTATCACTGCATGTTCCTCATCCCATCCTTACCATCAGGTCCAAGTCCGACTTGATAACCCAATTCAAGCTCGTGGGCACGCTCGTTGGTAACCTTTGAACCTTTGCCAAGCGTCGTAAAGACTTTCGCCGTTCTCTTGAACAAAATTATTTATTTTCACCTTGAAATTTGCCGTCTTGTGAGGCGGAAAGTACTCCTCCAAGAACTTGTGCTCCATTTGTTCCCATGTATGGATGGAATCAGGTTTTAAGTTGAATAACCATTGTTCCGCTTTATCGCCCAGGGAGTATGGGAACGCCCATAAAAAGATTGCCTCTTCAGATACGCCTTCGACAATCATTGATTTGCACATTTTCTTGAATGTTGCGAGGTGAACATTGGGATCTTCATGAGGCCATCCTCCGAAAGTTTTGCTTGCGAGCATTTGAATAAATGCTGGTTTGAGCTCAAAGTTTGTTCGATTGATCGGTGGCCTTCGGATGCATGACAGGAATTCTGTGGGTTTGGGTGAGTTGTAGTCACCGTACGTCTCGGCTCGTGGCTCCCGTCGTAAGGCTGGTTCTGGTGCTTGAGGGGGTGGTGGAAGTCGTGGTGGTTGATTATTGACGCCCGCCATTTTTGTTTGTCTTCTTCGAGTGATATACGTTCTTTCAATTTCGGGGTCGTATGGTTGCAAGTTGTCACTTCCACTACTTCGGGTCATGCACCGAACATCCTGTAATATTCAAAAAAAAATTTCAAAGTATACTAGAAATAAAAATATAAAGGGAAAATGGATTATAAACAAGAAAGACGAAATGAACAAATTTATCAAGATTACAAAAAGATGGATTTACTTAAGGCGTGGTGAAAGTTCACAAGACTAAAAGAGTTATCGTCAAAAACAATTTTCACGAGTTCCCCGGCAACGGCGCCAAAAACTTGATGCGTGCTAAGTAGTGTGCGTAGTTTGATCAAGCTTTAATATTTATAAGTCACTTAAGCACACACAACCGCAAGTGCACGGTTATATCGATGGTACTTAAGGTTCGTCCCAAGGGAATGGAATTTTGTTTCTAACAATATTTCTAAAAATCTAGTGAACTAAATCAAGATTCAAACTTTTGATTATCAAAGAGGATGGGAAAAACAAAGTTGGATTCAATATCAAAAGACGTTATGGGAATCGGTATGAACTTAATTCGATGAACAAGCACTAAGAATATGATTATGTGATTTATATGCATTCATGGTGGAACTTTAAACTCTAATCCAAGATCATCTTTCTCTCAAAAGATCAAATCTTCTTACTTAGATACTTCAAATTTTCTCATTTCTCAATGATGAAATATAAGTTCTAAGAGCATTACAAGTTCATGTTTAATCAATGTTCCTAGAGAATTCAAGATCATTTCTCAATGAATCATGACTTCTAGATGATAATCTTGTTCATAACATGCTTGGATTTCTCAATTCAAAACATGTTTATAGAATCATGATCAAGAATTAATTCAAGAACAAGCATTAAGACTCAAGATTTCAACACCATGAGCATATGAACACAATATCATCAATCAAGCACAAGCTTATTCATCAAACCAAATTCAACCTATCCCATAACAAGAGAACTACTCTAGAGCCATGAAATGATCAAGAGACATCATCAAATGATAAAAAAAACATAAAGATAGAGAGAAGAGAAAGAGAAAGCTTCTCTAGATCTTCAAGGCTTGTTCTTCATGCTCCAAGCCTCCAAATCTTCTTCTACTCTTTGTTTTTGTGTTTCTTGTTGTTGTGTGATCAATGAGAGCAGATTAAGGGTCTATTTATAGGAGTTTCTGAAGGGCAAAAGTAGATGAAATGATGAAATTCGTAGTGGCATGTTAGGTGAGTTGTCTCCATGATGTAAGCCATGATGTCAGCAACCAGAATTTTGCTCAGATTGTAACTGCTCGATGAAGGGCCAAATCTCCACCAAAAATTACGATCTTGGTGTCTATGGAAAGCTCTTGATGTCTAGTTTACTGTGAAACAAACGGCGAAGCAATCCGAGCTCCCAATCGAAAGTTATGGAGGAGATAGTACACCCTTCTCATTTTGCTTTTCTGGATCCGAAACGTGAATTGCAACTTTCGGCCACGATTCATGCTTTCTCCTTTCGATCTCAACTTTTCCAGATCATAACTACAATGAGTTGATGATCTTTTAAAATTGGAATCACGTCATTTGGACTTCAGATAAGAAAGTTATATTTAAATTCGTCCAAACTGTCAAAACTGCCCATGAAACCGAGTTTGCTCCATTTTTGTTCCATTTTTGCCAAATGTTTCCAAAATAATTTTTGTCACCTACAAAATATGAAACACACCAAAAACAAACCAAAATATTCCTAATCTAAATATGAAAGCATGAGAATAACATGATAATTATATGCAAGTTAATACGACAAGATTCGTGCGATCAAATTCCCCCAGACTTAGTGTTTTGCTCGTCCTCGGGCAAATGGCATGAATGCATAATGAGAAAAATTTGACCAATGACTCAAAAGACTTTGATACGCTTAAATATCATATTCACCATGGGAAAATCAGTTGACTACAATTCGATTTCCATACCTTTATAGGATTTCGACCTTTTCCAAAGGAATTGTATCACATTAGAAAATCAAGACAAGATAAATTATGATCTTACCAAGCGGACTTCCAAACTTTATAGCCTGCTGTTCTAGGGAATATTTTGGTCCAAGACGGTTTGGTGTATGCCAAGTGTTTATTTTGAAGATGGCTGAATCGGGAAGATATGTGGAATGGAATGAAGAAAATTTTTTTTTTTTTTTTCATTCGGTGTGCCAAGAATATATAAAATCTCTTTTTTTTTCTCTTTTTTTTTTTGTT